ACCCATAATGTCTTGAGTCTTCCTACTACTAGAAATCAAGGCAAGCTCCTACAGATATTCCCACAGGTCAACCTGATCTAGATAATTCTTCAAAAAAGACTCTGTGCAAAAGTTTCTAGGTTTTTTTTTTTCTACAATGGGAACAGTAGGAGAAAAATAATCTGAACATCAATCACACCTTCTATTGCTTCTCTCCCTTCTGGGTGAGTCATTTTCTTCCTGAATCTAGCAGGGTGAATATTGTGTTATTGCATGTGGTGCCCAAACACACATGTGGAGGTCAGAGGACAACTTGCTGAAGTCAGTTCTTGTTTTCCACCAATTGGGTCTCAGGAATGGATTCAGGTTGCTTGGCAACAAGCATCTTCATCTGCTGAACTCTCACTTTCCTGTGAGTGTGTGTGTGTGTGTGTGTGTGTGTGTGTGTGAGAGAGAGAGAGAGAGGGAGAGAGGGAGAGAGAGAGAGGGAGGAAGAGAGGGCAGAGACAGAGACAGAGAGAGATGTGCATGTGCCATGGTGCATGTGTAGAAGGCAGAAGACACCTGAAAGGAGTGCATTCTCACTTTCCACTGTGATTCAGGGTCAGGCTTGCTGGCAAGTTTCTGTCTAGGCCTTTAAAGAGTAAAATTATCTTTTCACATTTTCTTATAGCTAAAGCAAACACTTTTGTGTGATTATGCTGTTTGGCCTCAAGACTTATGCTCTTTGTCTTCTGAAATCAATTCAGAATCTGGAAAGTCTAAGCTTTTCTTCTTTCACTGAGTCTCTCTGCATGTGTGGAATATGCTTCCTGGCATTTTTGTAAACATTAACTAAAAAATATTTTACATTTATTAGGGAGTGCATGGCATTGTCCTTGATTTGTAGGATATGAAGCAATATCATTTTGTGTTTTATTATTTTGTCTAGGCTCTTTTTTATTAATGTCTTACTTCCTAACATTCCTTTTGCTCTTGTCCTGGCTAATTTTATTTCAGCTGGCCACAAGCTAGAGTCCTTTGGGAAAAGGAGCTGCAATTGAGGAAGCGACCCCACCTTGCTGACCTGTAGGGAAGTCTGTGGTGCATTTTCACAATTATTGACTGGTGTGGGGGACTTGCCCATTGTGGGTGGGACCATCCCTGGGCCCCTGGGTTCTGTACAAAAGCCAGCTGATTAAGGCACAAGGAGCAAATGAATAAGTAGCACTCTTCAATGGCTTCTGCATTAGCTCCTCCTCCAGGTTCCTGTCCTGACCTCCCTTTGACTG